GTCTTCTACGGCGCCTTCGTTAACTGTCAAACCGCGAAACTGGGACAATCACTGAGGGTCGGATCACTTATACAATAAAGGGATCCCAGCTATTAAATAATCGCAGCATGTGTCTTTAGGTCCATGCGCGGGTAAAAGCTCAAACTCCATTCACAACTGGTATAAGAAGACGTTTGGGAGCAGATGTAGCTGGGATTACTAAAGAAAGACAGTCATTGACAAGCTAGGGACATGTGACGTGACATGTCATTGACCATACATCACACGGTAAAGATGAAAAAAAAATCCGTCCCACCGCACGCGACCTTCCCACGTCATTTTTTTTGGATTTCCCCTGTGTACGACACCATTCAGTGCTCTGGGCGGGGTTGGAAAAATTTTTGGGGACAGCAGTCCTGGTGGCAGCAGAATAAATCCCTCAAGAAAATTGGGCTGTGTTAAAAGGGAAGACATGTCTGCTCCTAGCACGTAATGGCACTTATCTTTAACAGGTGACGTAACCCAGCTACACGAGCTCCGAAATTCATTGAATAAAACAAAGGTTGATTACAATGGACGACATACCTGTAACCATTTTGTGTTGAGCAACCTTTGAAAGACCTTTAAATGCACTAGATTCCACAAATACCGAGTACATTGACCCACATCCACCTGAAATCATGATTACTGTTAGTTCCTACCTAAGCAGTTATGAATAACATTGAAGGCAGAGCCCACAAACGGAAACTGCGGGTAAAGGGGCTGAAATAGAGACAGCAAGATGCCAAGAAAGTAGGTGGTGAAGAGAAAGAAAATACTGTTAGGTAGGATTCATTGAGGAGCAATTTTGTATGACATGAGGGCTAAGTGAAGAGGTGGTGGGACGAGTTCATCGGAAAATTATGCTGTAATAGCTATTTCTATTGCAAAACACCAAAGCTGATTCTCGGCTGACAATGTTGTCCCTACCTACATTCCTTGACTGATGTTAGGTTATTAGGGCTTGCCTTACACGAACAGAGCAGCAGGTATGGTGGGACCAATGGGGGCAATCACGGCATGAGCGTCCTTTAGCAGGAATAGATGAATGAATACAAGTTACAAAACTTACTTGAGACGTCATTAACTTCAACTTGAGTAACACCGTTGATTTTTTCCTGTAACAACTTTGCCATGCGTAACTCGGCTTCCGTTTTCGTGGATGAGAACCGTAGGGCGAAGTAGAACAACCGAGCTCGTGCCGTTAACATACTGGAATTTGTATGCGATGAGCATTCATCATTTATCGATAGCACATAAGCTATTGAACACTTTAAAGAGAATACTCAAGGGACAAAGGTTCTCAACACAGACATAAAAAAGCAAGCAGTTAGCTCAAAAGCTGCAAGCTCCGCACTGAATAAATGTTCATGGATGCACCACAGTCTATTCGTACCTAAGACGTGATCCACCATCGAGCGCTTCATGGTAACCCCTTCTCCCTCTACCCACCCCAAACGTTCACTTCAACAGTCTACACATCCTATTCCACAAATGCTAGCCCAAATAGTTGCGAACAAGGATCCGATCTTAATATTACCAAGGAGATACCACAACCGGCGTACAGGCACTATCGGAAAATGCGAAGTGGTGGTGTCTACTGGCACCAAAAGTGGGGTCTTGCCCCTATTGCTGATGTGCCGCTACGACCCCCAACACAATTCCCTTCTATCCAAATCTTCGCCGTTGAGGCAGGGAATTGAGATCAACTTCCCGAAAGAGAAAAACCGACAATCAAAACCATTTCCTCAACGTGAAATGGGACCGCCGCCAGCGTGTGCAAGGCCGGGGGAATAACAACCGCGCCCCATCCTAACTGCATTCGGCAGCGAGGTACCCGTGGCGTAAGCATTACACCGGCTACCGCGTAAGGCAATTATTCGGAGAGGGACTATCTTTCCCTGGGTTTGCCTAGGTGGGAGGAGGCCGGCATATGGCAACGTTGGCACACTCTTGTCCTTTGCAGCGCTTCTCATGCCGTCATAATGGGAAGAAAGGAGGGGTGCCAAGAGCGTCATGGCGAGCAGTGAAGCTTGTAAATGCGCGACATTTTCGCCTTAGCCAATAGATGGAAATTTGCAAATTAGCAATGCTATCAGCCTATGTTTCAATATGGCGATGGTCCACGTGCGACTTTCTTGCAATCTTGGCATGCTAGATATCCTTTTCGTATGTCTTCAAGCCTGTACAAGATTGGATGGCTTTATTACTAGGCCTACGTTTCGGCGTCTTCGCCTTCGTCTGAGCCTGAAATGGACAAAAAACAGATGCAACTTGCCCGCTCAAGCGCCTAAACAATCTCAAGACAATTTCCCTAGACTAGTAAAGCACCCAACGATATCAATAGTATTACGGGCTCAGCTGATCAAACGCACGCTACGCGGGGTCGACACCCTGAGGACACTTAGAGAAGAACCAGTAGCTATTCAGCACCCTCCTCGACCTCACGGTAGATCAAAACTTGCAAAGGTCGAGGAAGGGCGCCAGCTCACGCGTTATGGCCACACACTCTCCCTTTCTATTCATCTGAGGGTCCTTTGCCGTAATCCAGAATGCCTCCAATGTCTTACGCGCTGTGATCTCGGCCTCCTGCGCTAATATGGTCACCGACACGTCGAATGTCGTGCCTTCATGATGTTGAACCCGATGGGCTCCAAGCGGGGTATAGGCTCGCGACCTACTAAGTCCCTCCAGATGTTCTTTGACCCGCACACGGAGAGGACGTCCTGTTTCCCCTATATACTCGCTGCCACAGCTTTGGCAGTGTATCAAGTAGATGACTGCAGACTTCATGCAATCACCCTGCTTCCCAAAAATAAAAGGGGCAAACGACACATTCTGGAGTGTCACACAATGTGTCGTACAGGCGGTTGCGAACCAGAAGACGTTGAAGGTTAGATGGGGGTATTTCCACAATCCTAACTTCGTTTTGCAGATCACACCTGTGTTGTAGTGATCGAACTGCCTTACTCACTTGATCGGAAATGAAAGGCAGGCAAAAAACAACTTTATTAGGCATCGATTGATGGCTGTCTCTAAGACATGTGGAATACCCCCTTCGCGCCACCCCAGAGCAAGGATACCCATTGGATAAGGCAATGCCCTGAGCGATGTTCAGGGATTCTCTTTTCAACTCCCTATCAGACGAAACCTTAACTGGGCGAACTCTGTAACATGTTGCTTACTACAGCTTGCTTGGTTTTAATCGGGTGAGCCGAGGAATAATGAACCAAAATGTTCTTACTGCTCGGCTTTCGATACCATTTGGTCCTGACTGCCCCACTTAGTAGCTGGACTTGAACATTGAGGAACGGCAGCCAATTCTTGACGGGTTTTTCCCGTGTAAATTTGATGTTATTCGACTGCTCATTTAATAGATCGAAACAGGCATCCATTTCGCTTTGAGTTGAACATATAATGAGACAGTCATCGATGTATCGATGGTATAGAATTGGTCTGCGGTCTAGCACGGGTTCCTCGACTTTGGACATGAATACTATGGCTAAGACAGGGGCTAGCCGCTGTCGGCCATAAGCACAGGCCCTGCCTCTCAGCTGTTTGTAATAATCACCCGCCCATCTGAAAATAGAGCATGCTAGGCACTCCTTTAAGACTGTCATTACTTGTGAGATCGTGAACCCATAAAGATTGAGGGAGGATTCGTGCTCACGAAGCAACTCGTAAGTGGCCTCCAGTGCCGCGTCATTCGATACATTGGTATACAATGATGTCACGTCAAATGATTCTATGACGCTATCTCCTCGAGGGTTGGCACTGGTAAGTTTATCTAGTAGCATGCTCGTATTCGTTAAGTGGGCGGGCACGTACTGAAGAAGCTGTCCAAGGATCAAGTTAAGGAACCATGATATTTTGTCAGTAGGTCCCCCAATGTTGCTAATTATGGGGCGGACTTTGAATGTGCCAGGATCATTCGAACCGAAATCAGACAAAGCAAGCTTGTGGGTGTCCCAGTAAGTACAACACAGGACAGGTCGGCAGGTCATACTTGAGCCGATTGATTGTGGTGTTCGGTATGCCTGCCACCTTCACCACACTACACCAAGCCCTGTTGAGTTTACGATATTGTTTGTTGTACTCCTTTTCCGACGATCTGCCATCTAAGCGTCTCATCCGTTGAAAGGTGCGGTTTCGTTTATCTGCCGTTATCGAGTTTCTTGGGGCGTAAAACCACAAATTCCCCACCTTTGTCGCTGACTGACAAACGTATCCTGCCAGCCTTCACGCCGTCGCGTATTTCTTTGAAACCTCGCATTTGTGATGGCGTAAGGTTGGGAATGGTTCGCTTCCCAGCATGCTGCCGCACTATTCTGAAAATTGAGGTGGCAAACATGCGGAACTTAGTGTCTACAGTACTGTTGGGCTCTTGTGGTTTATAAAAATTGCTAGGAAAAGGCAGTGCAGGAAACTTTCTCGAGTTTTTTGTCCATTTCAGGCTCAGACGAAGGCGAAGACGCCGAAACGTAGGCCTAGTAATAAAGCCATCCAATCTTGTACAGGCTTGAAGACATACGAAAAGAATATGGCGATGATCGCACCGCCATCACCATAGAAATTGTGCTCACCAAAACGGCGGAAGCTTCGGCCGGCTTGAGTTGTTTTTTCTTTATGTTTCCAAACTTGAGGATCTCCTAGCCATGGATTATCCGCCTTCGAGTTACAAAATAAAGTATTCGCTTGAACGAATACGAAACAAAGAAGGCACATATGAAACTCAATCTTTATAACCAAGTACCTAATAGAAACTCGATTCATAAAAATGCACAGTTGAGAAAATCCTCAAAATAATCAGAAACTCAGTCACCAAAATATAAAACTATAGTACAACACAAGAAATATAGCTTCATCAAAGCAATTAGATACAGCTGATTGGGAGTATCTTGAGATGCATAAAGCATCAAGTCCTATTAAACTCGTTTTTCAAACTTATTAACTATAAACATAGCCTTAACGGTAGGTAACAGAATTAATTATTATATCAAATACATGCAATCGCTAATGGCAACAGAATTACATGGCGATGAACAAAATCTCTAGTTATAAGGGGAGACGGACAAGACAATCGCAAGCTACCGCGCCGTCGCGTGCGACGAAACGCGCGGCGGTGCGCGGCAAATTTCCCGCGATCCATCAGTTCGCCGATTGGAACAGCGAATCTCATATGAATTCAAACCAAGACAAAATCAAGTGTCGACTGACACATTTCTCGTATTTTTGTGTGCAGATTCAAGCGCCCGGCTAGAACAATCGTCTCTCGCGTGCGCGGCGTCGCTCGCGATGTCCAGCGCGGCATCCTACGATTATCTTGACACACACCCAATTAAAGCAGCCATATCCTTTGATTAGAGCTGCGATTATAAACAAAATCTTGCACAGAAAATAGGGACCTTCTGTAGTTATGAGGGGGAGGCACACAGCGCGGTGAAATCCGTCGCTTTGTGCCCTTGGACGAGTCGCGCACGCACTCTGGTCTCTGCGCTTTTCTGAGGCTGAGCCTTGAGGTAGTCTTGGATCACTGTGGCTCTCCCCCTCAACTACAACACCTTCCAAATAGCACGACGAAAGTAAAAAAAATAACAGAGTAAATGCAATTTTCTCTACAAAATAAACCGGTTCTATTCCCTATGACTAGAAAAGGCAATTACATCTAAAATCATTCTCTGAAGTGAAACGTTCAACCGTAGGTGTAACGTATTACTGTCAAAACAATGCCAAGTAAAGCTTGACCGTATTTTGACCTATGTAGTATTAGAAGCCAAGGACGCGCAGCAGTCGCGCTGCATCAACGTTTTTTAGTGAATGTGGTGAAGAATAAGGAACCCAAACGTTCTTTTCTTCGATCCGATCGCGCGATCCAAACGCTCGAGCGACCGATCACGCGATCTAAACGCTCGCATCGCGAAGTATGAACGCGCCCTAGAGTAGAAAAAAAGCGACCTGTGTACGATTTCTCGGTAAACGTCCCTGTGAATGGGCGGAGAACAACAAACACCACTATTTTGTCGTTATAGACACCACCCACAAGTGCATCCCTTTTTCTGAATAAACGAGACAAGAAAAAGACCGGTAGTAGTTTACTAAAGCTTAAGCAGTGAGAGCATGGAGCATATCACTGTGCAACCACTTAAGCAGCGGGAACGGATGCTCCGGGAGAATTGGAACAAAAGCACGCAAAACGGAATCAGCAGCTTTTCAAGGGGAGGGAACCTCAGCTTTTCGGGATAAATCTCCTACTTTCACGATGCACGCCCCTGTTCGGGCGCCTTCTTTTAGAATGCCTTGCCTGCAAGCATGGAGGCTGTATTACTTTCGCAGCTCAAGGATACGTTAGGGAGCGCCGCCCGCTCGCGACGGAATAGCGGCCCCGCCGCCGACGTCGGCCATAGCAACCGCCCACAAGCTGACGTACGGTTGTTTTATATGGGGCTAATCTAGGCGGGTTTTTCTGGTTTTTTGTCAACTTAATTAGGTTGGAAAGAAGTGCCTGTCAGGTGTTTTAGATGCCTTTACAGTTTTGATCTTTCGAGCTCGAACTGACGTAACATGCTAAAGGTTGTTGAAATTCTCGATGCTTCCACAAGAGGTATATCAAGGCTCCTGCTCTTCCCTGTGTTTATTTATTTATGATGTCAGTTTCACTGGAGCAGCTTCGAGTGATCATCTTCTATGAGTGGCGCCGCGGCACTGGAGCGACGGCAGCGGCCCGTAACATCAACTGTGCATTGGGGGGAGGACACCACCACCGTCACGGACTGTTCCACCGTTGGGGGTTCGCTCGCTTCCGCGAAATTAAGAGATCTTCGAAGACAAACCTCGTCTGGGACGCCCTCGCGGCGTAGAAGACTCCGCCGTTCTCGAACCTGTCAGAGAGGATCCAGAGGCTACCACGCGCAGTATTGCGACAAGGCTAGGGTGTAGCCATACAACAGCTCTAAGCCGCCTTCAGGCCCTTGGCTACAGAAAAGTCCTCACGCGATGGATACCTCATGCTCTAACAGATGGCACGCGGTATGCCAGGTGAGCATCTGTCGATCCCTCCTTCTACACCGTAACCGGAAGGAGTTTCTGGAAGATATTGTGACTGGAGATGAAAGCTGGGTCCTCTATGATTCCAACCTACGTCCTGCCATGCTGGCTCCCTCGGGAGGAGAGACCCCGCCTTACGCAACCAGATCGAGGACCTGCACGGTCCAAGTTAAGGTCTTCCTCTGCTGCTTGCTGGGATTTCGAAGGGCATGCATGGCACACGAGCTACCTGTCCAACGGAGGGCATACGGTTACCGCTACCGTTTACGCCGCCCAACTCCAGAAATTCGCGCAAGCTCTTCGAGAAAAGCGGACCGAGACGAGCTTCGGTGCAACTCCTCCATCCGTTTGATAACGCCAACCAACGTTAAGAGACCCACCGCCAAATTGAGGAGCTAGGCTGGGAGACCGTTCCCCATCCACCATATTCTCCAGACCTAGCCCCCTCCGACTACTACTTGTTCCGCTCCCTCAAGGCTTTCCTAGGTAAGAAAACCTTCAGCGAATTTGATGGCATCAATCGAGAAGTTGCCTACTTCTTCGACTCGCAGCCTCCTCAGTTCTGGGAGAAGGGGATAGCTGAGTTGCCATTTTAGGTGGAGCACTGTAGTGGCTAACAATGGCGATTATATTATTGATTAGTTTTTATTTCATGTTGAGTTAGAAAATAAAAAAGAAAAAAATCACAACAGTGACAGGACTTTCTTTCCAACCTATATATCACTTACTACGTTTGTCATTAGCATTTGAGCCGCACATCTATCCAATTTTTTCAACCCGAAGCTGCCTTTGATTTCCAGTGTGTACCCGTGCAATAACTCCAAGCGAAACGCAGGGCAGCAACTGAACCAACTGAACCAGTTAGTACCCTAAAGACGAGGAAAGAATGCCCACCTTTTCCTGTCACCTGATTGAAAACGAAAATGACAATGCGGTTTAACGATGACTGCACTGTAATCCGCACAACGTAACCGAATCAAGTGGGTTTCACTCTGCTTCGCAGTTCTCAATTAAATAATTATCACAAAAACACTCTGATCTACAGTAACCTTCTAGCGTACGCACATTGCATCACAACTTCCAGCAGTGCTGTCCGTCGCAGCGGTGCCTTTGCTGCTGCTGGCTTCTGGATCTCTCTCATCGCTTGTGTTATAGCCTTCACTGGCTGAATCGTCGCATACACGAGTTAGGAGAAGTTGTTGTGTGGAGGCTCGTATTTCCATTACAGGCGTTATGGACAACTTCGGTGGGTTCAGATCAGAATGACGTTGAATCGCCCACTGCATCGCCCAAATACTCAATGGACGCATATAGCCGATCGCACGGTAGAATCTGGAACAAATACAGTCAGACACAGCTGCATCACTGCGTGGTACCCCCTCTCTTCAACTGATGGAGCTCGATTTTGTTATCTTGAAGGCAGTAGGGGAACGATCGCTTTCTGGGCGGGCGTCGCCAACTCATTGGGTGATGGGGCGTGGCCAAAAGGTATCTCGCAGCCCCTCCGCCAAAGACCGATGGCAACAACCGCCCGCACGGCAATCGTGTCCACTGCCATCAGGAGGAAAAAACGATAGTAAACACATAAATCAGTGACAGTATAGTAGCATCAGTACCTGGTTTCATACAGCGCTTCCGGTGTTTGATACTGCAAGCCAGCACGTTCGAAGCATGCATCATAACAGCCTGAAGCCGTATGGAATGCTTTATCCACTTCACCTAATTGCAACAAGAAAGCTGCTACAGCATACGTTACACCGGTCCACACTTCATCAGCCTAAAAAAAACGAAATAGTAAATGAACAGCACTCGAGTGTTGTCAACCTTGGAAGGGGCGTTTTACAGTTTCGCCAGTTTATTTTAATAGGTGATGCTGAATAACAAAACGGTACCTGTGAATTCCTGTGAAGCAGCGAAAAGGCGCGAGCAAGCCACTTTGGTCACAAAAAATTACAGGTTCTCACAAGGTGACCTGCACGCTTCGATGAGCACTACCCCCCCCCCCACCAAGCCTAACTAAGCCATATCATTACCTGAATGTACTCCCTATCGACACGTCCATCAGGTCGCATTCCATTTACAGCTCCCATTTTGCCGCCCGCAAATCGGCACACATTATAATCGTAAATTGTCTTCATAGCCGTGCGCACCATATGATTTGGCAAAAGCTGTAAGTGAGCTGGTTACACTTCTTGATATCGTCTATTAAGCCGCTTTCTCGTAACTAAAGCCAGATTTTCATTAAAATTCGTCTCCAAAAGAAGACTTCCTCAAGGCTGATGCCGTTTAGACGCGCTCAGCTTTGGCTGCGAGCCATTTATGAAGTGCCTAGATCACCAAATCCGCTGAAAACTTGTATACAGGGGTAATTTGAACATCCTGATTACGAATATGACATTCATTCTTGGCGCTGGCGCTAATGGAGAACACTATGATTATCTGCGCTCTGCTAAGGCTGAGCCCAGAAGATAATCGTAGTGTCCTCCATTAGCGCCAGCGCCAAGAATGAGTGTCATATTCGTAATCAGGATGTTAAATTACCCCTGTATACAAGTTTTCAGCGGATTTGGTGATCTAGGCACTTCATAAATGAGCTCGCAGCCAAATCTGAGCGCGTGAAACCGTTATAAGCCCTTCCTCAACTGCAAACTGAGAAACGAAAAAGGTGAGAAGTTTGTGAATGAATCCATCAAAACGAGCTCCTCAATTTAGATGAAAATCCAACAGTCACTAAGATCATACTCACATCAGCTGCTAAATGAGGTGACACCGACTGCAGGAACCACACGCCACACAATTGATCAGCCATAATAGTTTCCCTACTCCGAGACCTCTCGCAGAATCGAAAATACGAACCCGTCCACAATTTGTCGATAAACACCTGAAATATGCCACTCAGCTGAAACTTATCTACTCCATAAGATCTCATAAGTAATACGAAAGGGAGCTCTCATAAAATCATATTTTGAGACGCACCTTCTTCGCTCTGGTCAGCGTTGTCATGTAGAGCTTTTCGCTTTCTGCATAGCCAAGCGTACGAGCCATTTCAGCCGCAACACGCAGGGATGCCAGCCAGAGAGAACCACAGTAAGCGCTATAAAGTAAGGTCATATCGGTAATCAAGGAAGAGTAAGACTTCCAAGGTAGTACACTCCAACCTTACGCCTTCCATTCGCCATGCATCATAAGTTTGATCGGCTTTTCCGAAATTTTCAATCATTCCATCGGAATCTTGATCCCACTCTTGCAGCGCTTCCGCCATCAGTTTCTGGAAAAGGTTTACACTTTTTTTTGGACATTCAGATCTGAGTACTAGAAACTGGGCCACACCGATTTTGAAGGGATCCCAAAGGCAGTTCGCGAATGTGAGTCCTAAGTAGCGGGGTTTCAAGAGAAAAGTTAATGTGCCAGGTGGTTTACCCCGAAGAAGAAAATGGAGGAGATCACCGCGAACGCTCCCAGCATAGAAACCACCTAACATTTTCCTGAATTTTCAATCTTCTTACCGCTTCTCTCAAGTTTTTTCCCAAAAATACCTCCACACTTCCACTTTTCTCGAAAACTGCCGTCGAGCGGAGGGGGGGGGCAGGACCTATAGCGCGCGTGAAAAACCCGGAAAAGTCAACATCCGGAAACATTTGCCTCAAACACAAACATGACCCTCTCCTCTTCCAGCAACAAAATACGGTCCCCTCCCTGTAGAACCCAAACCTACAGCGTGCCCTGGCAGTACTTATTATAGTTACAGCTCGATGCGACCCCTCCTTCCCGCTAAAAAGTCCCCAAAAGCGGAGTGGCGTGATCCAAAGCAACGGTGTGACTGTGTAGTGGCAATCCATAATTACTGGAATAGAATAATTACCCCTGGCGTAGGTGGTGTAGTGACGCGGCATGCTTACCACGCGACCAATCAAAGGATCAAATCTTCGAACAGGCTCTCGCCCAGGCCAGATAAACCTTCTTTCCTCCGGAGATGGTAAATTGATAG